GGCAAAGTCGTAGTTGCCCTCCATATTTCATGATACAATTCATTCAAATGTTTTGATTTGTTATACGGATAATTATTGAACCAATTTTTTAAAAAAAAATCCAAAGTCAATTAATTAATTATAATTTTTATTGCTAATTGATACATTTTTAATAAACTATTTTGCTGTTTTATAGGGGGTTTTGTGGGCAGATGCCGATTTGTTCGAAAATTCTTGCTATTTAAGAGGATGGCTAGAGGTATTTTTCATACTGCATTGCTTATCTTTTCATGTTTTTTTGAAGGTGGGTAGTTGCTATTTTTTTTCATGCTCTAATATGCCTGATTATTAGATAGGTTAGTTGATATTTCATTTTCAATTTTGTATTTAAGGGAATTATTTTGATTACTTTGGAGTATCTTTTTAAATTAATTTGAGAGAATTATGGAGAATTTGGTGGGGTTTTAAATACATTTTTCAAGAAAATCTCTCAAAAGCTACTGACTTGTTTGATTTTTAATGGAATATTTTTTTGGCAGTGGATACGCGTGATGCTTGGGTGGAATGAAATATGAGCAAAGAGTATGAGAATTTGTAGTGGGGACAAACTAGTTTTGACCAGATGTAATATGTTGGTGATAGTAGTCTTGCATAACAGATAATTGTATATTGAAACAGTAGGTGCTTATGTATTTAAATGTATATTCCACAATATTATTAGCGCTCTTCTATTTGGTATGCTTTGTAATTGACTTTTTTTCTTTTTTACATCGTATCTTCAGGCATTGGGCTTTAATTAAATGATATAAAGAATAATCTTTACCCACTTATTGAAATGTTTCGTTTATTTTTCAGTTCTGTATACAAGTTGATATTTTCATGGACTCTTATTTTCAAATGAAATTATGTCAAAATTTTGAAAAAATATCAAGTCATTATTGGGTTTAATTAAATCTATATCAACTTTTTTTAATTAAATGATATAGAGAATAATCTATATCAATTTTCTTTAATTAAATGATATAAAGAATAATCTATGTCAACTTACTTTGCGTGGGTTTTTATTTATTTTGTGTTTAGTATGGTAAACTAATTTTATGTTTATGGGGATATATTTGTCTTGATGTGAAATTGTTGGTTGTTTTGGTTGTAAGGTATCGATTGTTGATTTTAGGGGATAGTTTTGTTTGCTTTTTACTTCTGTATATAGGTTGAAATTTTCTTAAGCTCTTATTTTTAGAGCAAGCTTTGTCGAAATAGTTCTCAAAAAATATTTGAAAATTATATTAATTTCAATTTTTTAATTAAATCACATTTAAGAATTTTTTTTTTCAAATTAATCGTTAATTTATATTGCTATGTATTTTTAAGCACGGGTTACCTCTGGTCTCTTACAAAACTCAAATTCAAGACCCACCGACAAGTTTTTTATTTTCCTTTGTTTTTGGTGAATAATATATTGTCCCAGCCCAAGGACTCTATCTATCAGGAGCCGAAGTTGCGTGAAAGGTTTCGTCACAGTTGCCCCACCGAATGAGCATTTTACTCTTTACTTATCCCACGCTTGACCTCCACGCAACAACGTCAGCCCCTCACTCTGTATACATATAGGGGCTGTTTGTTTGAGGGATATGGGTGGTATAAGGGGGAGGTATAAGGAAAATAGTACCTAACGTGTACACAAGGCAAAAGATAGATTAACGGTCAACGTCCTCAGAAGTACACCCTTCTGGCTCAAGAGAAGGAAAAGAAGGTTAATGGGTCGCTGTTGCCCAATTTTCTTGGCTTCCAGCATTTAATTTTCTTCACTTTCACAGCAACTTAGACAAGCACACTCATTTCTTTTCATATATATATATATATATATATAAATTATAACATATATAGTTCATTCCAAGTTACCAACCTCAAGAGTCTTCCATCAGCTTTCTCTATCCATGGCAATCATTCTTGTCCTCTTTTCGTTGGGATGTCTGTTTATGAACTCTGAATCCATCAGCCGATGCGATTTCCCAGATGGGTTCATCTTTGGAACCGCTTCTTCGGCCTATCAGGTAGAATTTGTATTTTTTTTAATATGCATTTCAGTTTCTGATCAAACAATAAATAGCATAGAGTAGTTGTATCAGAAAGTGATGATGAAATGTATTGTAGTTTGAAGGGGCTGTGGATGAAGGAAACAAGGGAGCTACCATATGGGACACCTTCTCAAAGCAGCCTGGTAAGAGGAGTTACAAATTGAATGGAATTCATACCTCTTTGGCTCTTTTTAATTCATACTGCAAATTCTGAAAGAGTCTAACAGAGATGGGTACAAAGATATTTAAATGCATTCATTACCTGGTTTGTGTTCTGACAGGAAGGATTTTGGACTTCAGCAATGCGAAGATGGCTGTTGATCAATATCATCGGTTTGAGGTGAATTCTTTGACATTTGCAGTATTAGAATTCTAAACCTCCAGGAAGAAATTCTTTCAACTTTCGCCTTTTTCGTTTTTTTTTTTTAAAATTATTAAACAATACTGCAAGGACAATACAATATTTGGTCAAGTTGACTACAGAATGTTAAAGGCAATTCATATTGGATAAGAATGCATTATCATTTCAAAAGAAAGAAAGAAATAATATGGAAAGAATAATAATACTTATGCCAATCGTGATATGTCACTACCTTCCACAAGATAAAATAAGAATGCTTCCAGTGCAGACAATCAGGTCAAAATTATATAAAAATAACTCTAGCCAATTGAGGCTTCATATTGTCTTTTACTAACAGAAAAGGAGAACAAATTTTAAATTACAGAGTGATATAGACTTGATGAAGGACTTGGGAATGGATGCTTACCGATTCTCAATATCATGGTCAAGAATCTTTCCAAGTAAGATATGGCTTGAATATATCACTTGCTGCATTAGAATGCATCTTACATATATTACTTACTGCATTACAATGTCTCTTTCAACAGATGGAACAGGGGAACCAAATCCAGAAGGAATAGGATACTATAACAACTTGATAGATTCTTTACTGGAAAAAGGTTCCACATTGAAAAAGCTTTCTGGGTATTTATATTTTTCATTCAGATCTTATACTATTGAAGATTGGGCTGTTCTTTCCTATCAGGGATTCAGCCCTATGTGACTCTGTATCATTGGGATCTTCCGCAGATTCTTGAAGATAGATATGAAGGATGGTTAAGCAATCAAATAATGTAAGTATTACATAATCATGTGACTTCTGTTTGGAGATTACAAGTCAAGCCTTACAAAACACCTCTACATTCTTACAGAGAGGACTTTGAGCATTATGCTTCTACCTGTTTCGAAGCGTTTGGGGATAGAGTGAAGAATTGGATCACCTTCAATGAACCTCATGGCATTGCCATTCAAGGTTATGACTTAGGGGTCCAAGCCCCAGGAAGGTGCTCTATCCTCGGACATGTATGGTGTAGGACAGGAAAGTCATCCACTGAACCGTACATAGTAGTTCACAACATTCTTTTGTCTCACGCGGCTGCATATCATAGTTATCAGCGTAATTTCAAGGTATACATATTCATTAATATCATTTATGTACCACACAACACACCGATTCTCCCAAAATGGAAAACTGAAATAACATGTTTTTATTTTTCCCTTCACTTTCTCTCGTACTTGAATCTTGCAGGAAAAACAAAGAGGGCTTATTGGGATGGCGCTAGATGTCAAATGGTATGAACCAATCTCAGACAGTGATGAGGACAAAGATGCAGCAAGCAGGGCACTGGATTTTGGACTTGGATGGTAATTTCTTGTGGCAAACATCTTAAAAAACCAAAAAAAAAAAATGACTTCAGGAATAATCAGGTTCAACATACAAACTCGTATAACACAAAAAATGAATCAGGTTCCTTGATCCACTTCTCCTGGGGAATTATCCTCTTTCAATGCAGAAGCTGGTGGCTGAGAGACTACCCGAGATCAAGCCTGAGGAGTCAAGGCTATTGCTTGGGTCCCTTGACTTTGTAGGCATAAACCATTACACGACTTTATATGCCCGGAATGACAGGACTCAGATTCGGAAATTCATCCTGCACGATGCTTCATCTGATGCTGCAGTGATTACTACTTGTAAGATTTCAAATTCTAAACCTATAACGTAGACTCTACTAATATAAGGAAGGTAAATCAAGATTGTAACTAATGTTTGTTATGCATTTTTCCAATTGTAGCACACAGGCATGGAGTTGCTATTGGAGAGAGAGTATGTTCCAGCCTATTAATAAAGGACCAACATTTAGTATAGGATTCATAGTAAAATCTGCTCATGAGTTCTCTCTCCTCCAGGGCACCTCTCATTGGTTACACATAGTCCCATGGGGCATCCGAAAGTTAGCAAGATATGTAAGAGACAAGTATGGGAACCCACCAATGATCATCACAGAAAATGGTCAGTAGTTATGACCTCAGAACTTAAGCCTCTAACCCTGTGGTATATCTATCACATCCTTTATGTACATGACCGCAGGTATGGATGATCCAAATAAATCTCATATACCTTTAAAAAAAGCTTTACAAGATGACAAGAGGATAAACTATCACAGGGACTATCTGTCAAACCTATCTGCTGCTATAAGGTACTGGCAACCCTAAGCTGACTTCTTGGTATGCTTTCTCTTGGATTCACTGTGATAATACATATTTTGTTGCTCCAAAGGGAGACCCTTCTTTTATTTCTTTTGGTTCTGTACATGCTACTAACCAAAAACCTGAAGCAATGCAGGCAAGACAACTGTGATGTACGTGGTTATTTTGTGTGGTCCTTGCTTGACAACTGGGAATGGAACTTAGGCTATACCATTCGCTTTGGCTTATATTTTGTAGACTACCGGAATAATCTTACAAGGATTCCAAAGGCTTCTGTTAAATGGTTCAAAAGTATACTGAGATTGAAAAGTGATCACAGCTATCAGATATAGAACGTCAATTATCATCAACATCTCAAGCTTATGTTGTACACAGTGTTATTGTAAACAGAAATCAATGCATTGTATACAAGAAAGGCTAAAGCAAAACTAGGCCAAATTTCAGGAGGGGACCAAATATTCAGATTTGAGATACAGCCCAAATACAGGGTCTGTGAAACATTGTATATAAATTGTAATCTATTACGAGAGTTTGATTCAGCTGCCTATCCTACTGTATTATGGACACTAATTTGAGTCCATTGAAGTGATATAATGTGGTTAAATCTCATTGCTTAATCGAAGACATAGACATATTAACTATCCACAATTTAATCTAAAAAGATGTGATAACTAAGAACAGGAAGAACTTGGAAAACTAGGGAAAACATTGACATAACACCTACAATAAATTAGCCGCAGCAATGGCCAAACAGAGAAAACAAATTTTTTGAAAAGTAAAAGCTATTAGCTACATGAGGTCAATGTATGTAAGGTACCTGTAATAGTAGAAGTGAAATTATGTACACGAAGAACCTGCAATTTTTTTCTGATAGAACCGCAAAGCTTCGCCAAATAAAGTCCATGTACAAGTTAATAACTTACTCAGGCTTGTCATCAAACATCACTGATGCAGCTACATAGCTTGAGTCAAGGCATTTTGACACGGGTCTGAACCCAGAAAATGGAAATCATGATGTCCATAGAACCCCAAAAAGCAACGCCAAATAGACGTAGAGTCCACGTACAAGCTAATAACTAAGCCAGGCTTTTCATCAAAAACCATTGACGTATCTTAGAGCTTGAGCCAAAGCCATTTTACAGTGGCACTGAACCCCGAAAATGGATCAAGACAAGATTGCCTGCTTCATACGAAGCCATTTTGGGCTATAAATATTTAGTTGTCAACCTAGTGGGCTTCTTTCTTCATTTTTGTTGGGGAAAAGAGGCTTCAAAACAAAGACGACCATGGATCACCTAACACGGTGGTGGTTTGTTACCCTTGATCATTTGAACATAGTATGTGTCTTAATCAAACTAGTGCAGGATAAAAGGAGAAAGAATAAGCCTCCAGTATTGCACACCCAGACATTCTGTGAAGGCTGGCAGATAATTCAGTAACTATCATGTTCGAGCTCTCGCATGGATCAGTAGAAGCCAAGCTTGACGCTAGAGAGTCATTCTCTGTCATGGAGGCTCTGGCACTTATCGGCGTTGCCATCATATTCGATGTCTCCGATTAGCGCGACAATCTTAAGTGTAAGGGGTAGAACCCTCTACTAAGGATTTCGGCTTGACCTGGTTTAACCCACGTGGGCGACCGCCAATAGCCTTTACCTCTCAGTGCCCGCAGGAGCTTCGTCCCACATCGACTGAGAGTCGTCTCCCCCCTCGCATATAAGCCATTGCACTCAAAGGAGGAGGTACCCACTAGGCACCTGATCAGGTCGCTAGTGGGTACCTCCTCCTTTGAGTGCAAGGGCTTATATGCGAGGGGGGAGACGACTCTCAGTCGATGTGGGACGAAGCTCCTGCGGGCACTGAGAGGTAAAGGCTACTGGGGGGACGCCCACGTGGGTTAACCCAGGTCAAGCCGAAATCCTTAGTAGAGGGTTCTACCCCTTACAGAAAGGCGCCTTTTTGTAAGGGGTAGAACCCTCTACTAAGGATTTCGGCTTGACCTGGGTTAACCCACGCGGGCGACCCCCCAGTAGCCTTTACCTCTCTTCGCCAATAGGACCCTTTCCTAAGGCAATCCCACATCGGAAGAGAGTCGTCTCCCCCCTGCCATATAAGTGAACACTTCCTATGGAGGAGGTACCCACTAGCGACCTGATCAGGTGCCTAGTGGGTACCTCCTCCATAGGAAGTGTTCACTTATATGGCAGGGGGGAGACGACTCTCTTCCGATGTGGGATTGCCTTAGGAAAGGGTCCTATTGGCGAAGAGAGGTAAAGGCTACTGGGGGGTCGCCCGCGTAGGTTAACCCAGGTCAAGCCGAAATCCTTAGTAGAGGGTTCTACCCCTGATCAGGGCGTGCAAGATTCTGCACAATATAAAAAAGTTGAACAGATCTCTCCCCTGGTGAACTCGGGTGAGCCGGTGGAGTGACCAAACACGCTGCTTGGGACAGCCTGCACGGTACGGTGGTAACCTAGAACGGCAACGGGAGACCCTGGGAAAAGAGTGACGGTCCTGTAAGGCTGGAAGAGGTTCCTGGAACAAAGAAGAACAAGTTAGAAGGGCGCCGGAGTGTTTTCCGGCGTATCCCCTCCGACGATCTAGTCAGTCTTTGAGAGAGAGAGAGAATAGAGAAAACACTGTGAGTGTATTGTAGTAGAGAGTTTGTTGTTGCATACCCGCTTTGCCTTTTGCAAGGAGTATTTATACCTTAAAAGCTCATGATTGCTGTCAGTGTGGTCAGTAGGTGATCATTAGGCACAGGTAGCATGTACATTTGATTCTGATGAGGAATGTCTTCTCTAATTAACTGCTCGGGGTCCCGAGCAATCAATGCTGGGTCGTCGGGATGCCGACGGTACAATGTGCTCCTCTCGGGGAGGATGCAATAAATGCTCTGTAATAGGAGCATTTATTGCCTTTTATTTCCGAGCCTTACCGCATTGAATGCGGTCTCATCAAGGGATGGTGCAATTAATTGTTTACTTTCCCAAGTCGCGTGTCAGCAACGACATGCGGTTTGTCTGTCATTGATGTGATATCATATGCCACGCGTCCATCCCCTATTGGCTGTGACCTCTGTATTTCAGTACGTTCTGACATTACTTGTGTAAGACGAGGTCATGATGACTAGCCTAGGCTAGTGACCTGTACGTCAATAGCATATCCTGGAGTAGAGGAAGCGTCCAGGAGGGGGTACCTCTCGGCACCGAGGAAAGGCTCATCTCGGGGACCGAGGGATGTATGCCGACCGAGGTACATATCAGGCCGAGGCCACGTGTCGGTTGTAAAAATATACTGAATGTATATCCTATATGTCGGTACCTCGGGGGCGAGGACCTTGTGCGCCGATGGTGCTTGATCTTAGCAACAGTGCTTTAGTAAAACCGAGGACACGTGTCTTCATCATAGGGTATTTCAGAAAAGTCCCATCAACTGCCCCCAGCCTTCGATCTTCTGACACCGAGGACACGCGTTGTAAGGAGACGAAGGGTTTCCCAACTACCACCCGTCCTTCATCATGGCCTCGAGCCGCTTTCCCCGGCTTGGGATGTCGTGCGCATTAAATGCGCCGTTTCGGTTTTCGCGCCCAATGATGACAATTGCCCCTATATAAAGGGGTTCCTCTTCCGTTTTTCTCGTTTTGCCATTTCGAACTTTCTCCAGAGTACCTCTTCTTGAATCTTCGCCGGAGTTTTGTTTCTTCTGCCATTGTCGACTGCTCATTCTCCCTCAAAATCTTAAAGCCAGCAGACCCATTGTTGATTTCTGAACTTTCTGGAGGGAGTCGCTTTAAGGTTTTCCAGAAAAAACTCCATTTTGACGTTCGGGTGAGTTTCAGAATCCTCTTTCTTTTCTTCCTCCTAGCCTTTTGTTTTCCGATTGACTGGAGGTGTCATCCGGTTGATACATAGCGTTTTAACCCTCGGGAAACTTCCTCAGGGATTTTCAAGAACAAATACCCTCTTCTTTCTTACTTTTTTAGAGATGCCTCGTCGTCGCCCTGCTCCCGAGAATCCTCAGGCTGGTCCTTCGGGTCAGGGAAATATAAGGTAAAAGGCGATGAGCAGATCAATAGGTTTAGGGCCAAGTATGGTATTCCTCCGTGCGTAGACGTAGAGGATTTTGACCCCGTGGTGCACTCTTCTACCCTCGGGGCCGAGGATGCCATGCCCTTCTATACCAAGGCCATCATAGAGGGTGGAATTAGGTTTCCTTTACCCCCCTGCTTTTTCAGTTCCTCTCTTATTTCCGCCTCTTCCCCGGGCAATGCTGCCTTAATGTCTTCCGAATAATCATGGGGGTCTTAGAGCTCAATAGGCGCCTCGGGGTAAATATTGGGCTCAACGATCTCCTTTTTTGTTATTCCCTCCTTAGAGTCATGCCTCACCAACACTTCTACCTCAAAGCCAGGGACCCCTCCATGTACCTTGTAACCCATCTTCCCGACTCGGACAAGGGGTACAAGGACGATATTCTAATCTTCAAGGGATCTTGGCAGAGAGGTGTTGGTCCCGAGTATAATGACTTGTTATGCCCTCTGGAATGGAGAACGACAAGTACGTCGGTTCCTTTGGGTTTATTATTTCTTTCTCCAGACTTCCCGTACTCATGTCTATTTTGTGTGTGCAGATATTCCTGCTCGGGAAACAGCTCCTCCCCCTCGGTCGCTGGTGAACTTTGCCGACCTAATTACGGTCTGGAGATTCACGGGTGACAACGGGTTTGGCCGTGCTGCTCACATCCTGCTGAATTATACCCCCGGGTATAAGAAATTTTCACAGCTTCCTCAGCCTTTTGAGCCTTCGCAGTGGTCTGAACTCTTCGATCAGGCGGCGAGGCTAGAGGTTGAGGAAAATTTGGAGGAAGACCCAGATCGGGCTTCAGAGGCAGAGGTCGAGGGAGTTGCTGAAGAGCTCGGGGTCAGAGAGGACGCTGTTCCTTCAGACGCCGAGGTGGGGACTTCGGGAGGAGACTTGTGGCCAGACTTCCAAGTTCTTCAATCCTTAGACGCCGAGGACGCCTTCAAGGTAGCAATGTCCAGCACCCCTCGCATTGATTTGGGGTTCCTCAGGCAGAGGCAAGCTCTCGCAGCCGGGAGGGGTCGAGGAACGACCGGCGGCACCCCCTCGGCAGGGACCAGTTCCACCCCATCATCAAGGGTCCTTGGTCGGGGTCAGGTGCGAGACCGGGACCCTCAGGTGGAGGAGGAGAGAAGGGTCAAACATCGGCATGATGGCCTTGGCCGAGGATCCAGGGCACCTCCCGCTCAGCAGCAAAGCGGGAGGGGCCGTGGATTACCCCCTGCTCCTCCACAACAGCAGCAGCAACAACAGCCCCGACAACAGCAACAACAACAGCAGCAGACTCCTCCTCCCCTTCCGCCTACAATGGAGGCCGCGGAGTGGAATCCCTGAGCCACTGATCACATGAACCGAGTGATCAGGGTCGACGATTCCATTCTGCTGGATCCTCATGTCGCCAATGCAGTGAGTGAGACACTGCATTTCGAGGCTGACATGGCGGCTCATAGGGGGCGATCAACCAATGTGTTGTTCCGCTCCATCATCCAGAATTCCCTGGTGGTGAGTTTATTTTTGCTTTGGTTCCTTCACTCTTGCTTTCCATTTTTGTGATTAACACTTTTTCCTTCCTTTGTAGGCTACCCAGCAGATCTCCATCATTGCTGCTCGGTACCACGGGTCTAGGATGGACCTCCAGAGGGCCCGAGATCAGAAGGAGGAGGCGGAAGCGGCCCTCGCCCGGGCAATGGAGGATGTAGCTGCCAGGGATTCTACCCTGGCGGGGCAGGCTGCTCAAATCGAGCAACTCCTCAAGGACGCCGAATCGGCCAAGGTTGGCGCTGAAAAACTAAGTGCCGCCCTTGCCGATGCTGAGAGGAGGATTACCGAGCAAACGCAGCGGCTTTCTGCTGCGGAGGAGAGGGCCGTAGGCTCAGAGGAAAGCTGTCTGGCTCTCACCCAGGAGCTGGACAGGATCAGGGCCGAGGAGCTGAACAGAAAATCGGAGGAGCAACTGCGGGAAGAGTTCGCCGATGACGTGCTCCCTGCTCTTGAAGAAAACAGCAAGGAGTTCTTCAAGAAAGGGTGGGACGAGGCGCTCCAGTCTGCTGGAATCCCCTCAGACTCCCCGCTCTTCCAAATGCACAAGTATGTGCCCTCGGCAGAGATGGCACGGGCCGAAGCAGAGGTCGCTGCCGAGGATGAGGTTCCAACACCAGTGCAAGTCTCGGCGGATCCGCCCGAGCCAGTGATAGTGGATCTGTCCGAGGACGCCCCGTCGGACCATGCCCCTGATCCTCAAAATGCCCAAAGTCTCCCTGTTGCCGAGGTACCTGTCCTGCCTGCTCCAGAAGCTTCTCAACCATTCTTTGCCGACTCGCCCTCGGCTGATGTTCTGGAGATGCCTGGAGCCAGATGAAAGTCTCTTCCTTTTTGATTGTACCCTTTTTATTTTCTTTTGTAGCCTTTGGGGACGCAAAGCCCCTATTTCTTGAAATAAAGAGTATTTCCTTCCTTTTTCTGTGTACAGTAATGTTTTTTTTTTTTTACTTGTCTTCGGGGCTGCTTACCCAATCAAGAGGCTTGCTCTTGTGTTTGTTTCGGGGACATGAGTTCTTGAACTCTGTCCCCAGAGCCTTACCCTTGCAGGAGGCTTGCTCCTGTATTTGCTTCGGGGACAGGAGTCCTTAAACTCTATCCCCAGGGCCTTACCCTTGCAGGAGGCTTGCTCCTGTGTTTGCTTCGGGACGAGAGTCCTTGAACTCTGTCCCCAGGGCCTTACCCTTGCAGGAGGCTTGCTCCTGTATTTGCTTCGGGGACAGGAGTCCTTGAACTTTGTCCCCAAGGCCTTACCCTTGCAGGAGGCTTGCTCCTGTGTTTGCTTCGGGGACGAGAGTCCTTGAACTCTGTCCCCAGGGCCTTACCCTTGCAGGAGACTTGCTCCTGTGTTTGCTTCGGGGACAGGAGTCCTTGAACTCTGTCCCCAGGGCCTTACCCTTGCAGGAGGCTTGCTCCTGTGTTTGCTTCGGGGACGAGAGTCCTTGAACTCTGTCCCAAGGGCCTTGCCCTTTATCTTTGTCGTTGGCAAGCACTTGAGGGAGAGAGTACTTCAAAAGTAATACTTTTTTAGATTCATAACATTCCATGGTCGTATTACAAGTTTTCCACTCATGTCTTCTAATCTGTACGACCCGGCGCCCCCGATTGATATCACTTTGTAAGACCCTTCCCAGTTAGGTCCCATTTTTCCCTCTGTTGGATCGCGGGTATTGGCCGTTACCCTTCTGAGGACCAGATCGCCTATCCGGAATTCTCGAGCCTTGACCCTTCTGTTGTATAGTTGGGAGATCTTCTCTTGATACTTGGTTATCCTCAAGGCGACTTCCTCCCTTCTTTCTTCCACTAGGTCCAGATCTAATCACAGTTGACGGTCATTCCCCCCTTCGTCGAAAGCTTGGGTCCTTATGGTCGGGAGCCCTACTTCGAGGGGTATGATCGCCTCCATCCCGTATGCCAGGGAATAGGGGGTTTCCCCTGTCGAGGACCGAGGGGTGGTCCTGTACACCCACAAGATGTTTAATAGCTCTTCCGCCCATTTTCCCTTGGCTTTCTCTAACCTCTTCTTGATCTCATTGATAATTGTCTTGTTGGAAGCCTCTGCCTGCCCGTTGGCTTGAGGGTAGGCAGGGGTGGAGTAGAAGTTACGGATCCCGAGTTGCTCACAGAAAGACTTGAAGCGCCCGCCGGTGAATTAAGTCCCGTTATCCGACACCAGTGCCCGGGGAATCCCAAACCTGATGATTATGTTCTCCCAGACAAATTTTTTGGCATCGATGTCGCGGATATGACTCAACGGCTTCGCCTCTACCCACTTGGTGAAGTAATCTGTGGCCATAATGAGGAACTTCCTATTTCCTGGAGCCTTAGGCAGGGGTCCAACCAAATCGAGCCCCCACTGAGCGAATGGCTAAGCACCTGATCAGGTCGCTAGTGGGTACCTCCTCCATAGGAAGTGTTCACTTATATGGCAGGGGGAAGACGACTCTCTTCCGATGTGGGATTGCCTTAGGAAAGGGTCCTATTGGCGAAGAGAGGTAAAGGCTACTGGGGCTCGGTGCCGCCAGGTCAGCCGGAATCCTTCAAGTGGAGGGATGAAATCCGTAGCGATTTCTACCCCTTACAAAAAAAGGCGTCTTTCTGTAAGGGTAGAACCCTCTACTAAGGATTTCGGCTTGACCTGGGTTAACCCACGCGGGCGACCCCCCAGTAGCCTTTACCTCTCTTCGCCAATAGGACCCTTTCCTAAGGCAATCCCACATCGGAAGAGAGTCGTCTTCCCCCCTCGCATATAAGCCCTTGCACTCAAAGGAGGAGGTACCCACTAGGTACCTGATCAGGTCGCTAGTGGGTACCTCCTCCTTTGAGTGCAAGGGCTTATATGCGAGGGGGGAAGACGACTCTCTTCCGATGTGGGATTGCCTTAGGAAAGGGTCCTATTGGCGAAGAGAGGTAAAGGCTACTGGGGGGTCGCCCGCGTGGGTTAACCCAGGTCAAGCCGAAATCTTTAGTAGAGGGTTCTACCCCTTACATTAAGATTAGCTACCCGCATTTTACGACAGCAAATCAAGAAGGAACAACTACGTCTATCGAAAATAAAAAGTTAAAAAGTCCCTTTCCATATTTATACCTAAGATAGAAATCGCAACGAAATTTGAGCCCTCCCCTCGAAAGATTTCGACTGATTTGACGGCACCAAGCCCCAGTAATCTTTATCTCTCTTCGCCAATAAGACCATTTCCTCAGGCAATCCCACATCAGAAGAGAGCCGTCTTTCCCCCTTGCATATAAGTCCTTGCACTCAAAGGAGAAGGTACCTACTAGCCACTTGGAGTGGGTACCTCCTCCTTTGAGTGTAAGGATTTATATGCGAGAGGGGAAGACGACTCTCTTTCGATGCAAAATTACCGTAGAAAAAAGTCTTATTGGCGAAGAGAGATAAAGATTACCGGAGCTCGGTGCCGCTATATCAACCGAAATCCTTTGAGTAGAGGGTTGAAATTCCGTAATAATTTCTACCCCTTACAATACCCAATCACATTTGGCAATTAAACTATAGTTACAAATACAGTGGCGTGAAGCCACAACCTACAAAACTGTAGGTGGGCAATCACAGACCCTCAGAAGTCACAAGCATGTGTTTTCTATAATATATATTGCATGCATGCATACAGGACAAAACGTGCACAGAAGGCAAAGATAGCTTAACAGCCACCCTCCACGAGCCACCCCAGTAACACCTTCAAGCACAAGAGAAGGCACCGGGTTGCTTAATTGACTTCCATCATATTTTCTTCATTTTTTTTTTTGTTTAACGGTCAGGGGTATCCAAATTAACTTATGCCTCCTTCAATTAATATTCTCTAGTCAAAGGTAGACCACCCACATTAGTACTAAGATATTCATGTGGATAAATCTCTCGTGACTTATCCCAACGAGTTATCAAGATTCGAACTTTAGATATCTAAATTTACGACTCATTTTTGTTACCACTTGAACAGCCCTTGGGTTTCCATCATATTTTCTTCATCTGCACATCTAAGATACTTAAAACTCATACCTTCATATAAATATTATACAGATAACTCATTTCTCCTGTATTGTATACATTATAACACTTGTAGTCCACACCAACCTCAAAGTCTTCATCATCTTTCTCTATGGCAACCATTCTAATCCTCTTTTCAGTAGCATGTCTCTTTATGAACACTGAATCCATCAGCCGAGCAGATTTCCCAGACGGGTTCATCTTTGGAACTGCTTCTTCGGCCTACCAGGTAGAGTTTTTCAAATTTCTTGCCTTTTTAGTTTCGGATATATAAAAGATACCACGAGTTATACAATAAGGTTTCGGATATTATGTATTGTAGTTTGAAGGGGCTGTCAATGAAGGAAACAAGGGGACTAGCATATGGGACACCTTCTCAAAGCAACCTGGTAAGAAGTATCATTCTTATTTTTTGACTCTTCATAAACTTGATGGGGGCATGCTGCAAATCAGTTATAAGAGTCTAACAGTGATGGTGCAAAGAGCTATTTAAATGCATTACCTGGTTTGTGTCTAAACAGGAAGGATCTTGGACTTCAGCAATGCCAAGACGGCTGTTGACCAATACCATCGGTTTAAGGTGAATTCTCTGATACCATGATTTGACTCGAAAATCAATAGTGTTAGAAATATATGCCTCCAAAAGCAAATTCTTTCAGCTTTTGCCTTTTCGATACTTTGTCAAAACTACACTGCAAGAACAATACATTATTGAGACAAGATAAGTTACAGAACTTTCAAACCAGAGACTAAGGGGAGAGATAATTCATATTGGTTAAGTAATTATGACTAATCATTAAAAAAAATGAAAGAAATAATGTAATAAGAAAAATAATGCTGATGGCAATGGTGATATAGAACTAACTTCCAGAAGATAAGAATCAGAACACTTCCAGATAAGAAGTTCACTTTAGCAAATTACGCCATCACATCATCTTTTTCTAACTGAAAAGGATGAAAAACATTAAATTACAGAGCGATATAGACTTGATGAAGGACTTGGGGATGGATGCTTACAGGTTCTCAATATCATGGTCAAGAATCTTCCCAAGTAAGATATGGCTTGAATTTACATAGGCTCCTCATTTTTTTTCCTTTCTTTGCTTACATTACTAACTGTTTGAAACTATATCATTTGACAGATGGAACAGGGGAACCAAATCACGCCGGAATAGAATACTACAACAACTTGATAGATGATTTACTGGAAAAAGGTTCCTCATCCAAAGTTTTATGGGAATTTATATTTGTCATTCCCAGATAATGTCATTGAAGATTCGGATGTTCTTTCCTTTCAGGAATTCAGCCCTATGTGACTCTGTACCATTGGGATCTCCCGCAGATGCTTGAAGATAGATATGAAGGATGGTTAAACGATCAGATAGTGTAAGTACAAATAATCATGTGATGTTCTTTTTTGTGATTGCTAATCAAGCCTTACAGAACCCCCCCTCTACATTATTACAGAAAGGACTTTGAGCATTATGCTTTCATCTGTTTCAAAGCTTTTGGGGATAGAGTAAAGTATTGGCTCACCTTCAATGAGCCTCACTCCATTGTACTTCAAGGTTATGACCTAGGGTTTCAAGCTCCAGGAAGGTGCTCTATCCTCGGTCATTTATTATGTAGGAAAGGACAATCATCCATTGAACCGTACATAGTAGCTCACAACATTCTCTTGTCTCATGCTGCTGCATATCATAGTTACCAGCATAATTTCAAGGTATCCATATTCACTAATGTGATTTATCTACCAGACAACACTCCGATCTCCAAACAAATGAAAATCCAAAATATCATCAGTTTAATTTCCTTTTTTTCTCTTATTTCACGCACTTGTATTTCCAGGAAAGATAAAGAGGTCTTATTGGGATAGCGCTAAATGCCAAATGGTATGAACCCATATCAGATAGTGATGAGGACAAAGATGCTGCAAGTAGAGCAATGGACTTTGTACTTGGATGGTAATTTTTTGTGGAACACATATTAAAAATAGAAAAGTTTGATGTAAGTTCAGGAGAAATCAGGTTCAGCTTATAAATGTGTATAACATAGAAAAAGTGAATCAGGTTCCTTGATCCACTTCTCCTTGGGAATTATCCTCTTTCAATGCAGAAGCTGGTGGCTGAGAGACTACCTGAGATCAAACCAGAGGTTTCAAGTTTACTAGTTGGGTCCCTGGACTTTGTAGGCATAAATCATTACACCACGTTGTATGCCCGGAATGACAGAACTCGGATTGAGAAATTCATATTGCAAGACGCTTCATCCGATGCAGCTGTGATTACTACTTGTAAGATGCCAAAATCTAAACTATAAACCATAACCTCTACTTGTAAAATGAAGACAAATGAAGATTGGAACAACTATTTGTTTACATGTTTTCAATTGTAGCACATAGGCATGGAGTTGCTATTGGAGATATTCTAGCCTTTTATTACAGGACCAGAAGTTAGTGTAGGATTCATATTAAAATCTGCTAACGAGTTCTCTATCCACCAGGCCAACTCTCATTGGCTACACATAGTGCCGTGGGGCATCAGAAAACTAGCAAAATATGTAAGGGACAGGTATGGGAACCCACCAATGGTCATCACAGAAAATGGTGAGTACTGACGACCTCAAAATCTAATCCTCCAACCTTGTGATTTACCTTTCGTGTGGTTTATGTGCATGACTGCAGGTATGGATGATCCAAATAAACCTCATATAGCTTTAAACAAGGCTTTACAGGATGATAAGAGAATAAGATACCACAGGGACTATCTCTCAAACCTATCTGCTGCTATAAGGTAGGCAAACCTAAGCTGACTTCTTGTTATGTTTTGACTTAATTGGATTCACTGCAATTGTAAATTGTGTTGCTCCAAAGAGAGATCCTCTCTGCTTAATCCTTTCAACTTTACACATGCTTCTTAACAAAAAAAATAAACTAATGCAGGCAAGACAACTGTGATGTACGTGGTTATTTTGTCTGGTCCTTGCTTGACAACTGGGAATGGAACATGGGTTATTCTGCCCGCTTTGGCTTATACTATATAGACTACAGAAATAATCTTACAAGGATTCCAAAGGCTTCTGCTAAGTGGTTCAGAAATATGCTGAGATTGGACAGTGATCTGAGAAACCAGCTATAGAATGTCGGTTTTTATAACCATGTATCAAGCACATGTTGTACATAGCATATTTATGAACGAAATTCAATTCGATTACACATGGAGCAAATGTTTTACATAGGATTATTACAGACAAAATTTGATGCAATGAACAAAAAGCAAAAAAAATGTCTTATTACCAAACTTCATGATGGCCAAATATTCAGATTTGAGATGCAGCCCGAATACAGGGTCTGTGAAACATTGTATGTAAAGACCCATTAACAGAGTTTGATTCCATTAATTACTGTGTTCTTTTTTTCTTTTTCTTTTTCTTTTATTGATGAGTGATACAGTTAGTCTCTCTGTGATGCCACTGATATTAGCTACACGAGCTCAAACTATACGTGAGGGGAAGTACATTTATTTGCATTTGAGAAAGAATTTTTTTTGCAATAGAACCAAATGCTTAATCAAATAGAGTCCATGAACAAGCTAATAACTTACTCAGGCTTTTGATCAAACACCATTGAGGCATCGACAGAGCTTGGGTGTCAATGGCTCATTGACGGGCCATCTGAATCCAGAAACTGGACATCATTTCAAGTTTAGAATAGAAAGGGTACGCCACTCTTTAGACCGTGGGAGCACTAGATCTAGATGGCTCTTTTATATCGTACCAATCGAGAGTAAATAACTTGACCAAACTGCCCCAATTACACATACTCTATTTTCGTCTTGTTTTTTGAACAGTGGGAATCCTGATTATTGTTCACAAAATAGTGATTTGTTCAAATTGGTGGAGGAAACGTTTTCAATTAACCAACTCTAAATTTTTTGAGCAATCAAATTTGGTGAAAAAAAAAATCATTTGATTGGGTACCAGAAAAAGTTCCTGATTTTGGGACTGTTTATACATTGGACCAAATAATATGCACCTGTAATGATTCGCATGATCGTGCATCGTCCGATAAGAATATAACAAATAAAAAAATAGATCTTACATATTTTAATAACCGTCCCCTCTATGTTATTTCGTAACCACACCATGTAACAAAGTGATTTTTGTTTATCCATTTTGTTATATTTCAGTTGATGACATTACACAAAATTGATAACATAATATCTCTATTGTATTTGAATATAAAAAAATTATATAAATAGCCAATGTTCTATACCCTTTATTTCAATTAAGTAATTAAATTGAATTTAGTGTCAATTGAGAACCTTAAACTTTATAATTTAACTCAATGTGGTCCTTTGCGATTAAGGGCATATATAGAAAACTATGACTTGTTCATTATTTGAAGAGTAATGTTATGTGAATATAAAAAATTGACTTAATTTGTTGATTTAATGATACAATTTCATTGAAATCATTGGCCCAATACAAAGTTCAGTGTCAATCCAAATATCATAATTAATTAGGTCAATAAATAAAGTCCGAATAGTATTGTTTTTATTTGAACATACCTTTCTTTCTTCATTAAAACCAAATGCTCATCTTCTTTGTACCAACATAACAAAGAATAAAATTACTTCCTTATCGGGTCTTTAACAAACAATTTAGAAAGAATATAAATAGTCTAAATAAATAGAATATTACTAATATAAACATTTTTCAAAAACTTAATATATTTTAAGTCTATTAAAGCAAAAACTCAAATATAGGAACAATTTAATCTACCACAAACAAACTGCTGAAATTCAACGAATTCATTGTTGACAAATTCTAAATACAGCAATTCCAAGTTAAATTTTCAAATTATGAAATAATCTCACTTATTTCCTAAAATATTAAATTCCCAGTAATTTTTTACGCTTACAATTTTTTTTTTTAAAATGTTTGCAAAACATCAAGTAGGCCATAAAACATTTCAAAATTGCAGTGGAGATAAGTGCCTCCAATGTGGATCCACCACTGACACTATCTTTGACGAATTAATGAGTTCTAACCTCGCCTCATCGCGATGACCACCATAACCATGACTGCTAATCCCATCAAGGATGCTGTTAAATGGTCGTCCACAAGAATTGTTTCTTCACTTCCATCAGCATTTGTAGAGCCATTTTTCACAACTGAACCACCAAAGAAAGTCTGAAGATAACCCTGTAAGCTGCTCATCATATCAACCACTGTGAGCCTAAGGCTCTGCAAGAAATCTATATCCCCACTTTCAGAGTCAGACTCCTCGCAATCAGATGACTCATCAGAGCTCTTAAGACATTGCTGAGTTAGAAAATCAGCATCAGCATCTGTATCTGAGAAGGGAGCGCCCGTAAACAGGAAATTTAATCTTAACAAAACAAAGGTGAACGTGGAGGAGGAATGGGAACAAATACTTACTGATTTTGTTTGCCTCGAGGAAGTCCACAAGCGCCTCATTTTGCAGCACTGCATTCCACACATTTGGGTCACAAGCAATCGAAAGGGGTCGCACGAAGGGAATATTATATGAACGCCGTTACTTGAGACTGATGCGATACTTTTTCTAAACCACAGAGAGGACAGCATGGGAGATATAGCAAAGCTTGTATGCCCCATGCCAGAAGTGACAATACTTTTCACGGTTTAAAAAAATATGCAACACTATGAAGAACTTCTATCAACTATATGAACATGATTGGCCACTCATTTCCTATAAACACCCCCAATGGAGGTGTAATCCAAGGTGCACAACTGCAAAATAAATCTTTTTATTCTCCCCCAAGATTTAATATCCAAATCACCTTGCTCTTGTGCTGCTACAAGTTAGAAAAGAGTAAATAGGCACTTTAATGTAGATATACCATTTGCGAACACTAAATTCTACTTGTTCTCAAAGCATTATGGACTATACAATTCCTTAACCATTCTCCAATAACACAAGAGTAGCCTAACGATCCTATAGACCAGATTAAAATAAATAGAGTTCAACTCAGAACCTGAGCTGCATGACTTCTGTTGAGAAACCCAAATGCGCCTATAGCATTTTGAGAAACTGAGTGAGTCTCACTGGTAACACATTTTTTGGACTCCGACACTTCGGATTCTGAAAACAGTGGCAAGCAAGAGTCTTGACCATCTATATATGAACCACTGCATCCAATAGAATGAGGTGGGGCGAGATAGACCCTAGAAAATCAAGCATAGCACAAGAGCAGCCAAAAAGAGATAATGTATACTACCTCACTGCAACTCATATAACAGTTAAAAAGTAGAAGTTTTAGAACTAATCATGCATATATAATTGCACCATGAAGGCATGAATCCCTAAGCAGTCAATGCTTTGGGAATGGTATGTACAGTTGTAAAATGAAAGTCGCGGTTCAGTGTCTATAGCATGTGCAAGTAACAGAATTACTAAATTTTCACTCGACATTCAGCTGCAAATTTATGTATTATAACCAGCTAGAGGCCATATCCTCCCATTACAATCAAGATTTCTCTACCTCTTCTCACGCTTGAACTGTTGATGTCTTTATCAGGAAATATTACACCAACCGAATTTCCCAACTTAATTATCTATTATTATCACCCAATCAGTTTTTTTTTTTATTTTGTAGTTTTTATGCCGAAAAAGGGAAATTCAAAAAGGCAACATATAAACAGATGGACTATAGCAACTAGCAAGCAATAGCAAGATCCCAACCCCACATAAGCACTCATGATGAAAACCCTTACATTTCTGGTCTATTAAGCTCAGCCTGTACATAAAGCCTACACTCGAATATCGAATATTCAAGAGTCAACTTCAAGCAAGAGACCCAAACCCTGCCCAATCAATATAGACTGTAGAAATCCAGGTTAACCCCCTAAACTTGGAATCTTATACTCATTGAGTGACAATATTTCACTAAATCTTTGAAATTAAAAGCCCATCAACTAGCCAAAAAACCCTATAACTCAATCATGCACTCAGTTTGTCTGAAGCACAAAGCCAGCAACCCCAGCAAGACATAAAAACTTTAATAGTAAACTCGTCTGCAACATAGTTCACAACATAAGATTTAACACAATGCCAGAGATATGTCCCTCTTTATTTCCTCTGTAAAACCAAGATCAGCATGTCAATCTATTGCATTGTTCATTCATGAAATAAAGGGACACGTGCTACTACAAACTGCTTCTTTATTCATCCAACAGAGACACTCAGAAAGTGGAGAAATTTATTACCTGTCTAAAACCTGAATAACCCCGACTTCTAGCAACGTTTACCTCAAGCCACGTATCCTGATCATCATAGCAGCTAACAGACTTTCTGGAAACTTATACAAATAAAAGAAACAAAGTGTCACACCCCCACCTTGGATCACATAGGATGGGCAGCGGACCGGCAACCAAAGCGTTAACCAATCAACCCATAATAAATACAAAATACCACGAAAGACAAATAATAAGTGATCCAATCCATCGACCTAATGAATGCCAAAGGAATAAATTAAACATCACCAATATTATTATTGAACTCATGTAAAATAATAATTAAACTATAAGTTTGACTACTCTAAGTATAAACAACATTGTTTCCCAAAACAATTGATTATTTGTCTCAAAATTATAAAAGACATTTATTCCTGAAAACCTACAATAAAATAAATTTTCAAGTCCTCTAAGCCCTTGTATATCCGCAGACTTACTCCTCACCCTGATCCTCTCCTGAAAAATGTTAAATGTATGGATGAGTACAATGACCCGTAAATAGCAACCACCTCTAATGAGGTGTGAAAATAAATCCCATAATTTATATACGAAAATAAACTTTGATACACACATAAGTATAACAAACTGTACTCCAACCCATCCCACATAATCATTTAAACAAAATAATCTCATGATCACAAGTAACTTTATAAATAAAAAGACATTTATAATTCAAAACACCACTCATTTTTACAAATAACTTTATAAATGAAAAGACATTTATAACCCAAAACATTCACACACGCATTCAGTTTCAAATACATTTGTCAAATCATGTTTGTTACCATAAGTCTAGTAACTATCTCCGTCTCTTGTTACCACTAACCTGATATCTGGCATCGTCTCTTATTATCACTAGCCTGATGACTGACCCTTATGTGCACATCCCTATACCGAACACCTGTATACAATCTTGTTACCATTTAGACCTGGTAACCCAATCTCTGTCTCATAAACATGATTTTTACACACATTAAAACTGTACTTTTAGTCCCTACACACACAAAATTTTTCTTTAATCACCAAAACAATGATATAAAATCATCTCACAAGTTTTTGCAAAGTTCACATGTATAACAGTTCACAATTGCAAAACATTTAATTGCAACCCCAAACATCAACACATATATCATATATATGAAAAATTCATACGCATGCACCCACACATTTAATATAGAAAATCCTCTCAAAAGAATTAGTAAACTACTCACGTTGATTCCCAAAATCCAATTCAACGCACTCTTTCCCAACCTCAATGCAATCATCACCTAATCTAAAATAATATATAACAATCAATCCCTATTCTTAACTTTGTCGTTTCGCGATTCTATATTTAACTTACGTACTTCTTACCCATTGATATATATTTAATATATCTTTTACATATAAACATCATTTCTAATACGACGTAATAAGATATAGAAGTATTCTGAACTGTTTAGAAAAAGTTTTTAAAGTTTTGGGGTCAAGTCATAATTTTTTTGAAACTTTTAGGGTCAAAGTGTAATTTCTTTGAAAAACAAATTTTCTATTTTCGGGGTTGCCATAAATTTTCCAAAATAGTATTTAAGGTTCTAGAGACCCATTTTTCAAAAACACAACCTCTATTTGATTTATTAGAGAAACCATTGATTTTTAAACACTTAATCAAAATTTTTAGGGGTCGTTTCAAAATTTTACAAATTTTACAAGACTCGAAGGCTGTTTTGAAACGACAATATTTGTTTCAAACATATTGAGTCAGTTCTATAAATTACAAAATTTCATGGTGGTCAAAATTGAGTTTATAAAAGTATAAGAGTCAAAACAAAACTATTTAAAACTAAAAAAAAGGTTTCCATAATTTCAGAATTTTCATCTTCTTCATCCTTATGGAATTCCAGAAGCTTTGGTCTCTATCTTTTTCTTTTTCCCTTTTTTCCCAATATCTTATTAATACAAGTATCAACCACATTATGTTTGAATGAACATATTTTAACCTTATAAACCTACCCATATTGATTACTTGTAAGATATATCAGACCACAAACTTGTATATGTGTACATATAATGATTACATACATAATTAAATTTCAATATGAAAATTAACCTTGATGATCAAATCTTCTAATTTTCTTCCTTCTTCCCTAAATCACCTTCTTTCTTTCTCTTTCTTTTTCTTTACTTAAAACCCTAGTCTCTCCTCTCCTTTCTCTTATTCTAACTTGTGAGTTGGTGTGATTATAGGAAAAGAATATATATATATCAATGGACGTCTAGGGCAACAAGGGGACTTATTTTAATCACACTTTTATCCTCTTTTTATTATTCTTATTTTATAGTTACCCTTGGTACCCAATACACTAAATAAATATATATATATATTTTATAGTTTAACCATAAGGCATCAGAGTACAACTAATTCTAAATTTTTAAATAATTTGCTCTCTTTTTATTTATCAATTTATTTATTAGATAGGTTCAAACGCATACTTGTATTGAGCATTACACAAAGCACCCCCAAATCCCTGTAATAATAGATTCCAGGTGGGCAACAAACATTCTAAGGATTCAGAGAGTGGAGAAAATGCAATCATCGACTATTATCACTTGGAAAGAAGTGAACTTTGAGAGGTACACTTACACAAACAGAATGAAAGCTAAGGGGCATGTTGTAAAAAGTCTGTTTCAAACATTTGGATCAAGATCATGCGACACTAACTCACAAAAATATACCATTAAATTCAAGCCTAATAACAACTCCAAAACCTATAAAATTTTGTAAAGAAAATTATATTGAACAAGAATTTTGTAAAAAAGTATTAATCAAATACAAGCAATACACAAAATGGTCAATGCAATATACATACAATAATAACAAATCAAGATGATAATTCAGTTAAATGGAAAGGCCTATACAGATGATACTTAGAATCGGAATGCATACTCTTTAAGAGCATCATTGAGTTCAGAAGTGACCTCTTTGGCTTCCTGAAAAGTCGGAGCCCCACCAAATACGAGCCTCGGCTCACCGGATTCATCAATACTGGCGAACTCCCAGTCGTCGAGCCAATACGGCATCTGAATCTCCTCATCAATCTTCCCGCTGTGAGTCGTCACAGACACGCTCGAATTCACATCGTTGGAGGACGTAACGACCGCCGACACTGGACGAGTGGTGACCTGGCGAGCGGCGGCAGAGACCTGGTGCTCTGCCGTAACGCTGCGCAAACCGCTGTTCGCGACGCTTACTCCGGCAATCTTGGCCCCCAATCTCCACGCTCCTCCGCCCCCCATAATCGCAATGATCGAAGCCTGAAACCCTTCGAATCTGATTGGAATCACGCTATCGCTTCGGGTCACGGGTTTTATGGAGAGAGAGAGAGAGAGAGAAAATAGGCGGTAAATTCGTATACAGCGACCAATCCTAATTATTTTCCAGTGTATCAAAAATAATAATAATAATAATAAAAGGCCAATCCTAATTAAGTACTGTGACTTGTTAGTTGTTACCTTAAAAGATCGTTATCCTTAGGTAAACACTACAACGTTAACGCCAAAAAACATTAAGTTCGAGTCCAACAAGTGATAATCTCTATCTAAAAATGTAGTATATAAATTCTTCTTTAAAGTAATAAATAAATTCAAAAGGTGGATATGCATCCAAAAAAGCTATTAAGTGTCACACAAAAGTTTATACAAATACACCAAAAAATTGGTAAGTTTTATATCCTAATAAAACTTTTAATAAATAGGATGTCAAAGCCCACGCAAGACTTAACATTTTCCAATAATTTAACAAAACAATGACGTTTTTTAATTAGAAATCAATCAACTTTACCAATAATTTACCAAAATAATGACGTTTATCAATTTGAAATTCATGAATTTTATGCGTTCATTAAAAAAAATAGTTTAGCACACAATTATTTATTTATTTGTAAATAGTTAGATTGATAACTCAATCGAATTACAATAAATAATAATCAATGACGCAAGAATACGACATGCCACATGCAAAAACATTGAAAGAGGGAATAAACAAGAAAATTAGTTGGTCCCATGGAAGATACATGAGAATCTAATAATGTTGATATGGGAAAAAATTTCAAATCAAGTGGCCCAAAGACGTGGAGAAAAATATTTAATATAATTGTGATACTATATTATTACTATCACATAGTGTTACTGATCAAGTATGTCATCGACCTAGTATTTTACTGTAGAAGGTCAAGTGAGGATCGGGCTATGATACCCATAAAAAAATTGATACCATAAAGAAGAATAATGCATTGTCTCATCTCTTCACGTGATCATTTATAACCTTTGATCAGAAAAACAATACAATAAAATAAAATACTTTTACGTGTATCAAATTCTTATAATTGAAAAATGAGATATATTATCAAAAATAATTTTTTGATATGAACCGGTCCGGTGGGGGCATGATTGACCATAAACAACGAAAACCCGGTTGAATCTCTGATTATTCTCCAGCTCCAGGCTATTGCAACCCCAACAAACACATATAAAACCTGAGCAGCTTTAACCCTAGTCTTGGCCTAATGGGGACATAATAATAAATCCAATGACAGAGGACAAAGTAAGGACACAAATACAAAGTCAAGGAAGGTCATGTGGGTCCATTTCTCTCCAATTTAGACTGGCCCACCTTTCCCCCGTGATATGATATCGTCTATTCTATGGGCCCATCGCCCCCTGGTTTTCGATAAATTTGAGATTACCAAGGAGCTTTTGAAATGTGTACAAATTTAATAAATCCAAGAAAGTTGCTGTCCTACCCGTGAAGACCGAAGAATGGTGCTTTTTCATTTACACATCAACTGAAATTGACTTGAGATTCACGGTATGTCTAATAATACTCGTCCCATTTAAAAAATATATATATATATTAACCAGATACAATTTTATTAAATTGTCCATGATATATTTAAGGATAAATTTCATTCACATCCCTTCTATATAAGCATATCTTTAATAAAATCTCATTTGTTTTCTAATTTTTTTTTTACGTATTAAAATTTGGACCGATTAAAATTTAATTCAAGCTAATTAAAATTTATTTTTTTACATATTAAAATTTGAGCCGATTAAAAATTATATTTTTATTAAAATTTAGACTAATTAAAATTTGAGCCAATTAAAAATTATTTTTAATCGACCCAAATCAAATTTTAATAAACTCACTTTAAATTTTAATACAAAAAAATAAAAATTTTAATTGACTCAAATTTTAATTGGCACGAATTTTAATAAATAAAAAATTATAAATTTTAATCGACTTGAAAGAGAATTTTAATCAACGCTAACAACTCGAGTAGAGTTTAATCGGCTCAAATTTTAATACGTAAAAAATAAATTTTAATATGCTCAAATTTTAATACGTTAAAAAAATATTTAATCAGGTTCAATTAAATTTTAATATGTAGAAAAAATAAATTTTAATCAGCTTGAATTTTAATAAAATTTTCTGTAGAAAAATTACTTGAGGTTTATGTATGGGCATTTTTGCTATTTTAGATAATTTTTTTTATTAGAAATTATAGTTTAATGGTAATGAGTGTTAGTGATGTTTAAATATAAAATATAAAGGATGTCATTGATGTTTTTAAAAATAAAAAAATGTCCTTAAAAATATAATAAAGTAAGAAGGATGTGATTAAAATTTTCTCAATTAGAATTCACCGTCTAAGTAGGGTCATGAGATTAATAACCCCCCTCTGTTGCCATCCCCACACCAAGTTCACCTCCACTCCTCTCTTATCGAACAACTAGTCATAACTCAAGCATAAAACAACTAATCATAACTCATACATAAAAACACGATGAATTATAAAATTTAAATGTTTAAAAAATTGATAATACTATATTAAATAATAATTTTTCTTTAATTTTTTGATTACATCATTTAAAATTTATTTTCACCAACTATTTTTTTAAAAATATTAACAATTTTCTCAAAATATGTAATTTAAGAAAAATTTTTCAACATGTGTATACTATCTTATATGAATAATGTTTAAAATAAAAATTATATTAAATTATAAATTAATCAAATATTAAATGATTGAATATACGATAAAAATGAGATGAAATATTTTTTAAGGAGAAAATATGTAGAGGATAAAATTCAAGTTGTTAAATGTTTTATTATTAGATTAAAAGTGGGAATTATAAGAATGGAAGACAAATATAAAAGCCTCTTGTAAAATTTACATTTTTTGAAAATTTAAAAATTAAAGAGATAAATTGGGAGATTATTAAGACACTCCTACAATATGCTATAGCACATATAATGGTTGGAAAAGATAAAGAAAGCCTATCCTTTCTATGGATTAATTTGTTGGGAGATTATTAAGAAATTTTCAAATAACTAGAATATTCTGTAAAAACTTTTTAAATCGTGAGTCTTTCTTTTTTTTTTTTGAAAAAAACAAATTGAATTTTAAAATTTGAAATAATCAGAATATAGATGTGAATAGATTCTACAAAAGATAATTAGAAGAACTTCGAATTAATCCGTAATTGTTGGGGAGTCTAATCCAAGAGATATATAGATCCTTTGCTTTCGTAGTTATCTAATCTATAGAGATTAAGACAAAAAGGAATGAACAAAAGTGAAAAGATAACTTCTAATCTCATTTTAGAGAGATATGATTCCTCGAGATCTTTGCAGCCCCTCCTCCCTACCAACATCTAAGAACACTTGCTAAGCTAACTATATATATTTATAGTCATTATTGAAATATGTAAAAAGAAAAGGGTACAAAATAAGAGTGGCATCTTTTCTATCTTTGAGCTTCAAATCCTTTGTCCCACCAACCATTCCTCATCAAAACACCTGCAGAATCAAAGAGTTTTAGACTTTCAAATGAAAACCATTGACAGAGAAAGGAAGAAAGATGAATAAAGATTTTCTCTTTTGGTCATATGATCATCACCCCAGTAACAAATGAGGATGGTAACTAAATTCAGTTTAGAAAAACATGATGATACAAAAACAAATTAAATAAAAGTGATCATACACGGTGGCCAGTTCAAATTTCAAATTCCAGAGTGGGAACATAATATATTTAAGTAACTAGAGAGAGAAAGAGAGGTGAGTTTGTCAATTATTATCGAAAAAACTCCGAAGAATAGTTCAATTGATAATAGAAATAAAGATAAACTCAAACGTTCTAAATACCCTAGTTCTAGGTGTTGATACTCTTTTTTTGATTAGATAAAGAGGGGATTAGTCGAGACAAGCGTTCTTGACTCAGACGTCCTGATGGTTGTTAATAATAATCACCCAAGAATGCAGGACATCAAAAATCAAATATGTTTCATACCCCATTAAAAAAAAAAAAATCCAATTCAACTGAGACAACATATGCTACAAAACAAGAAAAAATCAGAAAGCCACCAAACAAAACATTAAATCAATCAGAAAAACAAGAGCAGAAAAACCATAATTTTTTTTTTCATGGCGATCAGATGCAAATCTGATTGAAGGCTGAAAGACTTACCCACAAACCTTGGAGATTACAATCTGGTGGATCTTCAAAGAGGGAGAGAGAAAGCTGTTTGTGAGCGACACCAATGTCAAAGAGTATGAGACCCGACTTGGGATCATCAACAATGATATCTTTGACTGGTAACCACAGAAAAAGCTCTTCCTGAGACATACCTTCGACACCAGTAAGACCACCGTAGGTCAGGTTAGCCCTCACAACACTTTCGTAGAAGGAATTGGTATCGAACTTGGTTAAACATGGTTCTTCAAGGTAGACCTCGAGAAGGCCAGTTTCAGAGAGTGTGTAGGACTTGACGTCCTTTGGGACGAGACCTGCCGGTAAGCCTTTGGTTTTGAGCAGGTCATGGATGGACAAGGAGTGAGAGAGAGGAAGAGAGAGGACGATCAAAAACCCTATGAGCCCAACAAGAAGTGAGAAATGGAACGCCATTAATGGAGGTTTTTGAGAGAGAGAGGGGGGGGGGGGGGGGTTTAAGGGTTTTTTTTTGTGGTGGTCTTGGGAAATATGGAGCTAGATGGGAAAGCGGAAAGACTGTTTAAAAGGGAGGTTTACTGGTGATTTTACAGTTATACCCTTTGAGTGTTGTGAGTCCATGGGTAGCCCAATTTACATCTATACTCTATACAATAAAGTAACTAGTTTATAATATAAAATATGACATGACTATTTTAAATAGATTTATTTGACGATCACCAATATCTCTCTTAAAATTATTCACATTACATCATACCTTCAAATAGAGTCACCCCTAATATATCAATAATCCTGACTCTAATTTAGGGGATATTGATAATATCACTTAAAATTTAAAACTAAATATTTTAAGTATGTAAGGAATTAAACTCATTTGATAGCGGAAAATTTATACCAATTAATAGGTTAATCACTTTTTAAAAATAAACTAAAATTTTAAGTAAGAAGCCATCTATTAATCAATAAGAATTTTATCATTTTCTCATAATGTACAAATATATTCTCAAAATATTTTACACTCTTAACTTTTTAATAACCACCACTACCACCATTACAATTGTGTTGCCGCTACCACCATCATTGTATCATTGCCACCACCATCATTGTGTCATTCCCACTGTTACTATCATTGTACCATCATCACCACCACTATCAATACAACAGCTGCCACCACTTTCATCATGTCATTATCTCCACCACCATTGTACCATTGTCACCGCCACTATAATGATGTGATAAAATTAATGTAATCGTGGAAAGATGGTTAAAAGGAAGCATAAAATTAAAATAATAATAATTTTTAGACTTCAATTTTTTATATTTGTTAAACTATTTAATTTAATTCAATATTTAAAATTCAACATTTAGTTTTCAGTATTTAATTTTCAATTTTATCAAACACCAGTTCAGACTTAAATTTAAATTAGAGTCTAAAAGGCCTAAAATACCTCTTCACACACCCTGTGAAAAATGAAAGTCTAAGCCACTCTTATCCCTTTTTAGGGACATGCTTTAATTTTATTTAAATTACGGTGATTAGTTGTTGAGCACGAAAGAATAATTAACGCAAATTTATACATCCTGTAACAAAAAAAATAAAAAAAACAGCATTGCATTATCATATATCTAGACGAATTGCTAACATGGTCAAAGTGCTATGAATCTTGTATCTATCTCTACATTAATAAATTAGATCTAAATAATATTTTTAATAAAAAAATAGAGTAAGAATTGTGAAATTCAAAAATTATTTGTGAGGTCTCCAATAAACCGAGCACCAACAAACTATTTGAATTTGCATTGGTCAACCTATAGCAAACTTCCAACGTCTTGGGCTAAGGAACTGTGAGCTTTGGTCGGTGGAATTTCACCATCGAAAATAAGAAAAATTTTAATATAACGGTAAACTTTTTCATTTTTATCACTGTGGTGTAATTAATTAATTATGAATAAACATATAAAATTAGTGAATCACACCAAATTATATAATCATTAATAATTTTTACATTGAAAACTATTTTAGAGAATAAGTGAGGTTCACTTTGTCTATCTATAATTCTATATAGAATACACCACGACCATGTGGTGTCACTGTTAAATGGAATATTTATTCTTTGGAACTTCTACGGTATCATTGTTGCCTTGTCAATATTAGTATTAAAAATTATAATTTTTTAAGATTAAATTATAATTTTTTAAAGATATAAGTTACAATTTCAAAGGATATGAACGAGTATGAAATATTGAGACTGGTATCGCATTTTTCATAATCGATCATGATTGTCTATAATCAATATGACTCCTTTGAACAGTTATAATTTTTTTTTAAAAATTATAATTTTATCATATAAAATAATAATTAAAGATCGATAGCATTTTTTTTTGGTAGAGTTGCCCTTTACTCTTACGTAGAAAAGAGGGTACATTTTCATATGACAAATCAAAACATTGTTCTCATCAAAACACACATTGACCGGGGTTAAGCAATAAAGGGTAATTCGGTCAAATAAACAATCTGTGAGAACAATGTAACGGCTGGAGCCGGAAACCCCAAGAATCAGCCCACAAACCGCCCAAAACACAAAAAAGGCCAAATAGGCACCGTGAAAATTCGGAATCATTTGGAGGGCAAATTAGTCATTTTAAAATTTTCATAATTTTGGGTAATGATTCAACATGCCTTCCTCGATCTTAGACTATTTCCAATAAAAACTCAAACCTTTACTCAAATTGGAATAAAAAAGGATAAAGAAATTTGATTTGACATACATTTCTCCAATGAAAAAACTCAAATTTAAAAAGAAAAGAAATTCAAATTTAAATAAAGACATACCCAAATTTCAAAAAAGACAAAATATGAACATTGAATTTTTAAAAAAATTTAAGAATTTTTTACTTAAAATTAAATTTAAATTTAAAAAAAGTTAAAGATTATAGATGGTCTTAGGCATGAGATAGCGGAGATTATCATGACAGAGGAGAAAAATAGTCTCAGTCAGTAAGTATTTTTTTTTAGTTCAGTAGTGAAGGATGTTCGGATCAATTTTTCATGTACCTCAATTAATTTTTTTCCTAATCCAATTAAAAACAAATCATCTACCACACAGCTCCTACATCTTACCTCCTAAACTGTCATTAGAATTAGTCAGTTAGTATCTCACAGATTTTCAGTTCAGGGATGAAAATTCACGTTAGCTTATCGATTTCTCGTAAATTACGACATGAAAGGGAGATTATTATCAGTTTTGCCACTGAAGAGTGAGAATAAAGCATGCTTTGGCATGACTTGGACTGAAGGTGTGTGTACTGTGCAATCATTACGTTGCCCAACCGGGGACCGGAGTCCTGTGCACAACCACGGGTGTGAAGTGTGAACTGTAAAAGCCGGTTGCCGGTTTGACCAATCATCCGTTGGAATTACACATTGTATAAAAAAATAAAAATAATAATAAAAAATTCAAATTGCAAGAGAATATATTAGACTCCGGAAAACACGGGCACTTGGACAAAAGAGGATTGTAATCAATCAGTGTTAATCATTATTATACCCCCTATTATTATAATTAAATGTTTAAATTATAATTTATTATTGAGCTGTCGTCATGACAAAGGTCAATATTCTTGCACCGGCAGTGGCCTATTCTTTTCCCTAAAGTCATGAAAATGTGGATCTAATTTTATAGCATATACTTTTATTAATCATAGTTAAGCATGTTATATTTTCATGGTTTTGTCTATTATTTGAAAGCGAAATCGAGCTATTCAAAATTATTTCCTATGGCCGATTTTCGGTACAAGGTGAGAGATATTGGAAATGGAAAGCAATTGATGTGCAATGTTTTGTCAACATATTCAAGCCAATGTAAGAAAATGGCAAGATTCGAAAAAGGTCGATTAGAGCTGTGAAACGACCCCCGTTTTGGATCAAATTCTCCAGACGTGATCATAAGTTCATGCCAACATAGAGGTGACAGAGGTAACAATCTCATTTGTCAAGTGACCAACTAAACTCTCTCCAATAAGAGAAGATCTTCCTCCTCAGTCCCACTGCAGACCACCACCATCATCGCCGCTAACACTAAACCACCAAAAAAGACTAGCTTAGTTGCTAACCCTCGATTTTCTAAAGATTGCAAACCAAAGGGGCCAATCTCTTTGTCAAAGATAAAGCTTGAATTTTTTTATCGCCCCTCTTTGAGATTCTATCAATCAATTGTTTCCACTAATTCTACCAATAACAATGTTGCTTTGAACCCGGTGGATAGTTTAAGTGGTAATAAGAATGAGTTATAAAATTAGACGTCATGAGTTTGAATTTTAAAGGTCTTTTGGGCCTCGACTATCTTTCATGAATACCCTAGTCACAGTGTGGATGACTTTCCTTTGATTAGACCCAGGAGAAAAATTAGTCGAAATATACTTAAGTTGGGCGGACATGACCGTTGAAACCAAAAAAAAATAAAATAACAATGTTGTCTTAGCATAGAGGAGAAATACTAATTGCTGGAAATACTGCAGAAATTAATGATTTGGGGTCCAGAGCTTCATCCTTCATTGAGATATATGTCAAACTAAGAGTGGAAAAGATGAAGAAAACACTAGCAACAACTTTTTAGTGATCATCATAAGAGGAACCAATAAGATATCATATTTCATTTGTCATTTAGACGAGAATTTCAAACATCCACCACTGATCAGGGTGTTGTGTTACTGGTAGGACCAAATGGAGCTCCCTTTGAGAAGTAAGCAGTCTACAAAAGTAGAAAAGATTCATCTGCCAACAGCCATCTATGGTCTTGGATTCCATTATAGATGATGGCATGATTGATGACTAGTGCGTGTCAAAGTCCTTAAAAAAAAGGTGGAATCCAAAGCTCATTTTGAATATGTTGCATGTTTTCTGTATTGGACAGTCAAATTGGTCAAAGCATGTGCTTCTCTAATTCTTCTTCCTGCACAAGTTTGCAATTGAATGAAACACTGCAAAGTTCTCTATCTCTTTTCTCTCTCTAAATCCTTTGCTGGAAGTATTAGTTTGCTGTCTGCTAGAGTTGAAACCATTTCTGAGCAGCTTCATAGCTAAGCTTTTCCTTTCCTGCGGGATACATATGATAAAGTAGGGAAATACTTTGAATCCCAAATAAGTAGAGGCCCTTGGATAAGTGATAAGTGGATCCCATTGACAAAAGTTAACGAGACGCACTGATCCAAGGGTCCATACTGATTTGGGATCTTAAATTTGGTATCCGTAGAATTGCTCGAGAAGGTACCATGTCAAACAGAAAAAGGACCACACCCACACACAAGCGCACACAAACAATGTCAGTGCTTCAACTTTTTGCATGAATTTACAATTTCCACTCCTCATATATTCAGATGTCAATTCTTTTAGGGCATCACATATGTCAACAAAATTGGGATAAGTTTTAATGAGCAAGGATGCATTTCAGTCTAAATTCATAAAGCATTCCTCTATATTTGCTCCACAGTAAACATAAATATTTCTGTCAACAAAAAAAACACCTTGGAAATCTTAGTCATGTTGTTATTAGGAGGCACATGATTTAACAAGTTCACCATAAGGTTCGAGGAAACAAACCCATCAGAAATGCCAAGCTGGCGTAATACCACACCACCAAAGATTAATTCAGAAGGTTGAACACCCGGCTTTAAAAGTAAGCAGACGAAGCTTTTGTAAAACTAGCTCAAATAGACCCAAAATGTGGCAGAACAGAGTAACTCAAATTAAATAAATTAGCTCCTTGATTAACTGGTTAAACAAATAGACATAAGAAACAATTAACGATCAAACATGAATTTTGATATATAGTGTGGACATAGATTTACTTAGCTTTAAACACCTGTACTTGTAAAAAGCTATATGAAGCAAAACTTCACAGATATAAAACGATATATCAAAAGTGACTCTACCGTCTAGAATACTCCATATGTCTTTGACACTTGAATTTGGGAAGTTCTCCTTCCTGATTCTTAGGTGCTGATAGAACACACCAGACCATGGATATGGTATCATTCCATGTTGTAGATACTAGATCTATCTTCTGCAACGTATTTATTGCTGCAGAAAGCAGAAGCACAAAGGGTGCTTTTCTACCAGGAGAGTTTTCACCTTCCAGTCTATTAGTTTATTAACATCCAATACTTTTAGTGCAGTCCAACCTCCATCCTTCCCCTTCCCCAGAAAAACCCCTTAAAAGACAAACACAAGGCATTTGGAAACAACATAAGAGAAAGAATAAAACAAGGAGCAAAATTCGTTATAATAAATCACTTTTCTTTTTTGTAATCAGCTTTCAATTTGGAATATGAAAGCTGAGTTTTTTTGGTTCAGCAGGCACTCTCAAAGAAATCCCTGTTTTGCACACATAACCTGTATAGTATGCACCAGGCATGCATATGCATGTCTATGTTTTAGTGAGTGTCTCTCATGTGTGTGTGTGTGTGTGAGAGAGAGAGAGCACTGCTGTAATGATGTAAACAGGTTCATATATGTTCCTCAGTTCATAAACTGACTCCCACGAGAAGCTCCTACAATAGCAATTTCCATCCAACTAAAACTTCACAACACTCCTAATAAAGTTTTGCACATACATTGAGACAACTATTTCCATTACACAGTTAGAAATTATTTCCAGCCAGTCACATATCAGCAACCACCTTAGAAGAGACACAAATGAAGAACTGCCAAGGAAAAGTATTGGAAAAATATAAAAATTCAAAATAACTTGAGTCTATAACAAGGGACCTCACGTAGATGCAACAGCAAATAGAAGTACCTCATCCAGAGGCTGATTCTGATTGAGCAGCTTCTCGCCTTGGTCGTCTTCTTTCAGGAGGAGGGCCATCTCTTCGCCTTTCATATCTTCTGCTTTCATACTTAGATTGTCCACGTGGCTTTGGCTGATAAGTGGGGTATTTGCATGGAATTATCTCCCCATTTATATATTTATCACCTAAACAATACCACAAGAAGAGAGAAAGAGAGAGATGAAAAGAAATGAACGATTATGTTGATGATGAAACAAAATTATCTGGCAATACCCCTAAACAGATCAAGCAAACCAACCTCCATAATCCTTATTTTTAACATCTATGTATGAATCAGGCAACACCCAGAGAACTCCAGGCAATCCTGCATAAAAAAACAAGCACAATAACTCTCACAAAGTAGCATAGGAACAGTATTTGAACAATCAAGAAGTTGAAATATCCACAAACCTTTGAATTTTTCTGATGTTGCTTCATCTACAGTGCACTGGAAGCCAGTATAAGTAGTGGTGCTAAAAGCGTACATATTCTTCTGTGCTTCTTCCATGCTGGCATCAAATAATAACCAAGTTAGGTCAAGGAGATAACAACTCATGCAAATTATGATTTGCATCAACAACCCAATGAGTTAAAGCTCATATGATGGTGTTCTGTGCCCTTTGTTTTTCTTTCTTTATTTTGGAAAGAAAAAAGTAAAATTTCTTGAGTCTTATTCGTCAAGAACTTAGACATTCAAACCCATATTGCCAAATTCTGTAAAAGAACATTTGCAAGAATGTGCAACAGATATTTGAATATTTGCATAGAAGGGAGCCCTAAAATTCTCCTGCCATAAATTTTAAGAAATTCATTTTAATATGGACCACTGATGGTCATACATTTTGTGAGCACCATCGCATAACACAATTCATAACCTAACTAGAGCACAAAAACACAATTTGATGAAGTATGCTCCCATAATATTTTCATATGAGTGTACCACTCTTCTCAACTGCTACAGTAAAAACATTTCAATCACAGGGTGATAAATACCCTTTTCAATAAACAGAGCACAAAAAACATATTAAGTTCATTCAGGAATTAGTAAAATTCTTTCTTTTTATCACTTGGTAATAAATGATAAAACTAAAAAGAAAAATTTATAACATGAGTTTTCCATATTTTTGGAGTTAGGTGTTTCCTTCAGGCCCCAAATAAGCAGAATCACATCCACAAATCTATTTCCCTCTTCCTCCTACATTTTCTCAGCAACTAAACAGAGCACATGCATTATTTCATATTGATAGATATCTAACCATATAGCTTAGGCAAAATATATACTATATCTTCAATACTAACCAAAAATTAATCAGTGACAACAAAGAACTTCCTGCAAATGTTTTCCAAAGAACCAAACAGACCCACAAAAAAGGAAATGAAAATGAAAAGCCACGAACAAACCTTCCCAAAACTGTAGCGAGAGTATTGAGGTAAGTATCGATCATTTGCTCTCTGGTGGGTGCAGGGTCTTTGGGGAACTCCATGACAATGAGCCAGTGGTTGTAGTCACAGCCCGGTAACATTAGCGTCTCCCTGGGCTCATTGCTGCTACTCCTCCTCCTCGACGAATACTCACTGTCGAGAGCTGCCCGAACCGGAGACGATAGAGTAGCACGAGGGGTCGAGTGAGACCGACTTGGAAGGTAATTCAGTAGTGCGTTGAACCGGAAGGAAAAGAAGAATTGGTGAGTTTGTTTTAGTGAAGGTTTTGGAAAGGACGGGGTAGGGTTTGAGACCAGGTGAGATGAATGAAGTATTAGGGTTTTGGGGGTGATGACAGAGACACCGCAAGTTGCAGCCATTGCAGCACAGGAGGGAGAGAGAGAGAGGTGTACCTCGATTTTCTTTTTTTCACAAACCTATTGAAATTGGGCTGGACTGAGATGGGCTTCGTTTGACTGTATTTTTTGACAAAGTTTGAATGGGCCATGCCTGGACAAGTGGCAGCCCCAACCCACTACCACTGGTTCAACATGTAAGTTGTAACTTTGAAGGGAAAATTGGTAGGAGGTGTACCAAATTATACTTAATTGTAAAAAAGGATATAGAAAAAAATGTTTGATAATTAAGTTCTTAATTTTGATATTTATTTGTATCTAAGTACATTATTTGAATTTTACTGATTTTTTTGTGACATTTTTGCCCTCCATTAATCCATGTGTATTTAATACACCACTTGTCTTTGAAAAATGGTGCATTAAATATCTCCTAGTTTTATGGGAGAACTTTAATACACACACACACACACACACATATATATACTTGTTTAAATTTCAAAATTTGTTTATAAAAACGTATATCTATTTATACTACTTAAAAAAGTCAACATACATAAAAAATATTTTTTTTCACTTTTACCCTCCAACACTACATCTATGTCATACTTATTGTCATGAGGTTAAATTTCTCACCAAATTTTTGTCTCGTGATGGCACTAAGATCCAACAATTAGTTTCAGACAAACACTCAGAATGCACATAGAACAAAAAATGGACAGTAAGTAAACACACAGACAAGACACACAGAATTTACAGACAACAACCAAACATTTCTTTCTTAATAAAGTATAAGGAACTCAACCTTGGGGTCTGTTTACAAAAACGTGTCAATTCTCTTCTTGCACTACAGACCCCAAACACCCTATTTATAATATTCAGGTTGGTAGTTACAAGCCCAATTGCCTAGGCACATATCCGAAATTCAAATGCTACCAAAGGTCTGCTGTAATTGGATGACAGAGAAGTTATAATTGGTGTCTGCATGCTTGTCTAAATCTGACAGAGATCCCACATGCAATGCACTTGCCAGAAAATTGTCCAGAACTGCCACCATCTACAGAGCACATGCCCAATTTTTTCACATGTTGTGCATGTGTTAGGAGCCATCAGCATCCGAATTGCATTACATTCGTTTCTAACCATGGCCCTGCCCATGGCTCATTATTCAAGCTAGTATCGCCTCACAATTCAATCCGCCCGCTTCCTTGCTTGCATGTTGACTTGTGCTCACATGCCCATGTGCATGTTCTGCCATTTTGGCTAAAACATGGGTGCCTATAGACGAGGCTACTCGAGGCCAAATGCTGCCAATGGCTAAGGGGGTAACAAACCACCCCCACCAGAAGAGCTCGACGTCCTTGTCGAGAGGTTGTCCCAATACTTCTTGATCTGTTTCTCAAACTGCCAAAGAATCACATCTCGTTCCCAACTTGCGTCTGCCTTGGAACCCCTTTTCCAATGCACCAAAAAATCAGTCCTGCAATTCTTCTTACTCTGACTCATGGTCCGGTGAGACAGAATCTTGTCGACCTCTCTGTCAAACTGTTTCCTGATGATAGGCGGAGCCCTCCTACCTTGCTTTCTTCCAGTATTCAATAAGTCTTCTTGAAAAGGCTTCAGAAAATTCATATGAAAAGTTAGGTGAATTTTTAATTGATCAGGCAGCTTCAAGCGATATGCAATATTCCCGACCTTCTTCATCACCTCGAAGGGGTCATCGTATTTGGGAACCAGCCCATGGTGTACTACCTTGCTGTTGATCCTTTTCTATAATGCAGGAGTCAATTTCAGCAAAACTAGATCACCAACTTGAAATTTCAGTGGTCTGCGGCCTTGATCAACATACTTCTTCATTTATCGGGAAGCTTTGGCCAAGCTGTCCTTTGCCTCGTCAAGCAACTCTTGCTTGGAATGGGCAAACCGATATAAAGCAGGACATTTTTCTTCCGGTCCTCTGTTTTACCACTTCATGGGGAGTAAGTGGCTGATGTCCCATAGCCAATTCACAAGGACTTATTCTTGTTGCTGAAGATCTATGCAAATTGTAGCAAAACTGGGCAGTGTCTATAAGCTCCACCCAATTTTTCTGACTTGCAGTGACATAGTGTCGCAGGTAGTCCTCCAACAAGGCATTAATCCGCTCAGTCTGTCTATCAGTCTGGGGATGACTTGCGATAGAGAACTTCAACTCAGAACCTATGAGATTGAACAACACCGTCCAGAATCTGTCAGTGAACCTGGTATCAAGATCACTGACTATATCTTCGGGCAATCAAAAGTACTTCACCACGTACTTGTAGAACAGTTCTGCAGCAACATCTATAGGGCAAGCATGAGGTACAAAAATGAACACCGCATACTTAGAGAAATGATCGACCACCACAATGATCAAACGCATGCCATCAACCTTTGGTAGATTGCAAATAAAATCCATCGAGGCTGACTGCCATGGTCTGTCAGGAATGGGCAAGGGCTGTAGCAAGCCTACTGTCTTCTTCTTCTCAACCTTGTCAAGTTGACACACTAAACAGGTTCTGACATAGGCTTCAACATCATCTTCCATCTTGGGCTAGTAATAGGAGCTAGCCAGCAATGCAAACATCCTCTCTACTCCTGGATGTCCAGCCCACTGAGAGTTGTGTGTCTCATGCAGCAACTCCAGTCGTAGTTTCCCTCCCGTAAAAACATAGAGTCTGCCCTCTTTAGCATAGAGCAAATCATCATCAATCCAGTATCTACGCACCAGACCTTCGCCAACTTGCTGCTTCAATTTTTCGTAAGCAACATCAGTTTAGGCACGTTCTTTGACTCTTGCCAGGAAGTCAGTCTGCACATTGGACAGTGCAAATACATATTCTTGGATCTCCTTCCCACTCAACGCATCAGCAACTTGATTTTGCCTCCCGGGTCTGTGTTTACCACATTATCTGTCACAAACAGTGAATTTCGTTCCCAGCAAGTAGTGCCTCCAAATTTCAAGGCAATGCACCACATCAGTCATTTTCTTCTCATGTGCTGAATATCGCTGCTTAGCATCTTTCAATTTTTGGCTTTCAAAGGTAACAGGGTGTCCTTCCTAAACAAAGACTCCTCCAATGACGCGGTCAAAGGCATCAGTGTGCACTTCGAAAGGCAGATCAAAGTCCACCAATCTCAGTACAGGTGCAGAGGATACTACATGCTTCAGCTTCTCAAAAGTTGTCTGACAGGCATCATTTCGATCCCATTTTTGGTCTTTCTTCAGCAAGTCAGTCAGGACATTGCACTTCTTTGAATATCCTTCAATGAACTGGCGGTAGTAATTGGCTAGGCCAAGAAACAACCTCAGTTTAGACACCTTGGTTGGTGCAGACCAATCAACGATTGCCTTCACCTTCCTCTCATCCATCCGGATTTTGCCCTGGCTAATGTAATGTTCCAAGAACATCATTTCTTGGCGACAGAACTCCCATTTTTCCTTTTTGACATACAGCTGGTGTTCCCTAAGCTGTGAGAACACAGTCCTCAAATGATCTATGTTATCCTCCAGCATTTCACTATAAATTACAATGTCATCTAAGTAAACAACCACAAAGACATCAATGTAATCATAAAAAATATCATTCATTAGATTACAGAAAATTACCGGGGCATTAGTGAGCTCAAATGGCATTACAAGAAATTCAAAAGAACCATAACGCGTCACACACGCAGTCTTTGACTCATCCCCTTTTGCAATTCTAACCTTCCAATACCCAGTCCTAAGATCCAGCTTTGTGTAGAAAGTGGCCTTGGACAGTCTGTCGAACAGATCAGCAACATTCGGAACAGGGTACTTGTTCTTGATAGTCACCTTGTTCAAGGCATGATAATCGATGCACATGCGCAACGATCTATCTTGCTTCTTCTAGATCAGAACAGGGGCTCCGTATGGTGCCTTGGATGGCCTCATGCTGCCAGAATCTAACAACTCGTTCAATTGCTTCCTCAATTCTGCCAGTTCCATTGGCGACACCCAGTAAGGGGCACAGGTTGGAGGCTTTGCACCAGGCTCCAGTTCTATCTTGTGGTCAATTGCACGTCTGGGTGGAAGATTCTTGGGGATTTTAGGTCTTGGGGAGTTTAGGGGGCATAACATCAGCAAACTTGACTAGTACATCTGCCATAGTATCAGGCACTTTAACCAGCACATCTAGTTTGATCTCCACCAAGGTTGCAAGATATGTCATCTCACTCTTCTTCAACCCAACATTTACTTACATGACGATCAACATTCCCACCTTCCACTCTCAATCTTTCTTGCTTTGGTCTGTCATGACTGCAGGCACAAAGCAGGGTGCTTTCTCATCCGTGATCAGCACTCCGTTCAGATGTGACATCAGTGCCACTTTCGCTATAAAAAAAATTCATTCCCTAAGATGATATCAAAGTCGTCCAAGGGCACAACCATCAAACTCATTTGGTCTTCCCACAGACCCACCTTTAAGTATATTTCTGTTGTACCACATACTAACATTGTTTCAGAATTTACTGCCTTGAGTTTGTTTGAATTCTCTGACAATTTTAGGCCAAATTTTCCCATCTCTCTTTGGACAACAAAGTTGTGGGTGGCTCTAGTATCCACCATGGCCTGAACTTCCTTGCCATTCACCCAGACTTGAACAAACATGAGGCTTTTGCGGGGTTGCTGAACTTTGCCCACAATAATTGCGTTCAGCAACTGGAGAGGGTTGACTCGGGTAGGATAGTCATTATCATTGTCATTCTCACTTGCAGCAACAAGGGCACTTAACTTCTCCCTCTTGGGACAGTCTTTGACACGATGGGGGCCACCGCAGAGAAAACAACCAGAATCAAAAGTTTTCTTCTTCTGGCTGTTGTCTGGCTTGTTAAAGTCAGCAACGTTCTTCTTTTTCTTCCAATCCGCTATCTTTGCATCGTTGGAAGTGCCAGACTTATCTTTCCTGCCGCCACCATCCTTCTTCTTTTTCTCAAGAGGGCCTTGGCTGCCGCCCATTTTAAAGTCAACAAGGCCATCTGCTGCAGAAATGGCAGCGGATAGATCACGTACCCCCTATCTTCTCAGTTCAGCCTGTAC